GCTTGGCCGGGAGGGGTGGTCCGCACCGCCCAGCCTGTTGCTGGGCAGAGCAGCTCCTTTGTCTGCCCGCTGCAGCTGGCTGAGCTCATTGGCTCCGGCCGCGCCGCAGTGCGCAGGGAGCCCGCCGGGGGGGGGCCTGGGAAGGACCCTCCGGGGATGTGGGGGGCCAAGCTAGGTCCCAGGGGTGACAGGGAACCCCGGGAGGGGAGGTGGAGCTGGAGAGTGCCTCCGGAGGCAGCGAGGTCTGGGGGATGGGGGACCCGAGGGATTCTGTGTGTGCTGGCCTGGGTGGGCTGCACTGGGGGAGCCCTGAGCCCTGGCCGGGGTGCCGAGGGTGGGGTGGGGAGAGATGGGGACAGCCTTTGGGACAAGCCTTGGCAGCACTTGGCAAGTGACTGGGGGCAGAGCTTTGCGAGGCAGGGTGAGAGCAACCCCCGGGTCGTAACCGTCCAGTGATCGGTCTCTTTGATGGCCTTTTGCAGGATCTTGTGAAAAATCACCTGATGTATGCGGTGCGGGAGGAGGTGGAGGTCCTGAAAGAGCAAATCAAAGCTCTGTTGGAGAAAAACTCCCAGCTGGAGCGTGAAAACAGCCTCCTGAAGACCCTCGCCAGCCCCGAGCAGCTGGAGAAGTTCCAGTGAACTCTTTCCGCATAATCTCCTGCAAAATCGTTTCCACCTTCATCTCACACGAAGGACTGCCAGACCCCGGCGCTGAGCCGTGCCCCCCTGGGCGGCCCTGGCCGGCCAGCAGCCGTCTCCTGCACAAGGATGCTCTTCTGCGAGGGAGACGCGGGCAGCTGACCCCTCCCCATCCAACCGCCTGCTGCGTGCTGGGAGGAAACCTGCCCGTCCCGGGCTCCGCTGCAGCCCGGGCCTCTGCGACACCCGGGCAGCACCTCGGCGCTTTGATGGGAATGCACGGTTGGAAGGAGCGCACGCCGAGCCCTGTGCCTTTGCTGCACTGTGCAGGGGGGGTGTCTCTTCTGGCAAAGCCTGACGTTGGAGGAAGACCGCTGTTTAGTGAGCGATGCAGATTTGTCCCGCTAGCCACCCAGGAGCGTGCTGGAAGCCCAGCCTGACTCTGAGCAGCACCGTCGGTGGCAGTTGCGGCGTAGTGCATGGCTGTACGCACATCAGTGTGGGGATTACAAGGAAAAAAAGCTTGTGTTATTAGTTTGGGCATCTTCTGTAGCCGCGTCTATGTATAAACACGTGCATGAGCAGTGCCCACAAGGCTGCGGGGTGCCCTGCTCTGGGCCAGCCGTGCCCATCTCTGTGCAGCTGGGGCATTCGAGGCAAGGCTGGAATGGCGAGCGGCTGTGACTGGGTGGCCAGCGCCGTGAGCGGCACGGAGGAGGGGATGGATTCACCCCTCTGGGACATCCGCCGTGGCAGAGCCGTGCGGCAGCGCTGGGAGGATTGGGACTGACCCCTGGGCAGAGCCATGACAGGGGCTGTGCTCCAGCCCGCTGGGTTGGGGGGGGCCGGCCCCTGCTGCTGGGCTCCCCACCTTCCCTGGCCAGCGCTCTGGGAAGGGACGGGACGTCCCTTTTGACGTCGGAAGCGGTGACACAGTTGTGTAAATCTAGGTAGAAATGGCAATAAACTTTACTTTTTATATAAACATGTGCCCCAAGCTGTGTGACTGCGGCTGGGAAGAGGGAGGTGTTCGGGGCAGCAGCGCGGGTGACTGGGGCAGGGGCTGGGGCTTGCTGGGATGGGACTGGTAAGGATAGTGAGCTGGTGCTACTCCCCAGCTGGGAAACCCTGGCAGCTCCCCACCTTAGGGGGGAGGTCAGTCCCCCCTAAACACCCTGGCTGAGCCAAGATGGGATGTGGGCGGTGTGAGCAGGCGCCGTGGTCCCAGGGGCCGGGTGTGTGGCAGGGAGCGGTGCTCTGAGCCTGTACGTCTCTGGGCTGGTGGGCAGGCAGGGAGGAGGTTCGTCTTGGGCTGCACAGAGCTGTGTGTGCCCCCAGCCCAGCTCTGCTCTTACTCAGGTGTTTTTTGTTGCGTTGCTTCTCACAGACATGGCTGATTTATTTTTTTATCTTGAAACACAAGGGGAGGGTCTGAGGCTGGAGCAGCTGGATTGAACAGTGCTGGATGGGGGCTGAGGGCACCCCAACCCCATCCTAGGGTACAGCCAGCCTTGGGCTGAACCCCCTGGCGTAGGTGGGAAAAGGAAAAAGAAACCTCTCTCCATTGCTGTAGATGCTGGGTGGCTATGGCGTTTGGGTGAGGGTTAGAGGCTGGGGGGTACCAGGAGAGCTGGGAGGTGGGTGAGCAGAGCCCGAGGCTGGCAGGGTGTTTGAAGCTAGGTGCAGTATCCTCCCCTGGGGTTTTACACCCTGGACACGACTCCAGCCGGCGGGAGAGCGTACGCTGCGAGCCAGCAGCGCTGCTTGGCATGGCTTTGGGTCTCTGCCGTAGCGAGGGTGACTCAGCCCCAGCCCGCTGTGCGTCACGGCAGAGCCAGGGAGCTGAGGACGGTTGGCGCCCTGGAAACGCCGGGTAAACAGCAAAACACAGGCCAGAGGGGCTCGAAACCGCTGCGGGGTGCCTGTCCCCTCCCTGTGCTGTCTGTCCCAGGGCCGGAACCCAACCGCAGGCAGCCCTGCAGACACGCTGGTGCAAGGGCTCAGCGTGCACACACGTGTGCCTTGGGTGTGCGTGTACCACGAGCGTGATTGCTTTCCGTGCTGGGTGCACGCGTGTGCAAACAGATCCAGGCACCCCCGCGCCGTGTGTACACGTGTCCCTGGCACACGCGGGCGCTGCGGCAAGCTGGGGGCACGCATGCGGCGAGCTCCCAGTCACGCGTCCCTCTGGTGCTGCAGCTTCTCCAGGAAGGGCTGGTCCCCAGGGCGGCAGGGTGCAAGCCGGGTTTGCACTGGCCGTTTCACTGCAGTGGGTGTCAGGAGTGCTGCTGGGCTCCCAGCCGCTGGGAAACTGTCCGCCCGTCCTTCTGCACCTCTCCGGCTGGGGAAGGTCTGGACTGCAGAGATGAGCTCTGTACCCCATCTGGCTTTGCTGCGCCCGCACCCTGGCTGTATTCGAGGGATGCAGTGATGGCGTTTTGAGTCTGGAGCCCTGTGCCACCTCTCCCCGTCCTCTGTTCCCTCCCCAAGGCCCTGGGATGCCCCACAGCCCTCGCGTGCCTCTGTGCCGGGGGGGACAGGCAACGGCACCCTGGCAGACCCCGCTCATCACAACCGCTCGGGAACACCCACCCGCCCCAAGCTGCTTGCTGCAGCTCAGACTTACTCCC